CCGTAAAATTCATCCATTTGCAGTATACAGTTTGATGTCATCCATTTAAAGTATACAGTTTGATGTCTTTTTATAATATATTTGCAGAGTTATACATCCATCACACAATCAATTTTTGAACACTCATTACTTCACACCCCTTAGGCACACCCCAGATTTTGGGCAATCACTAGTTGTATTTTGTTATTCATCTATAAACTTACCTGCTCTGGATATTTCCCATAAGTGATATCCTATCATTCGTAGTCCTTTGTGATTGACTTTTTTCACTTAGCATAATGTTTGCAAGGTTTATCCATGTTGTCACACGTGTCAATAGTTCATTTCTTTTTATTGTCTAGTAATATGTCATTATAAATATACTTATTTGTCTATTAATCATCTGATAGAGAGTTGGATTGCTTTCATTTTCTGAATATTATGAATAAATGCTGCTATGAACTTTTGCGTACAAGTTTTTGAAGACATGTTTTATTTTTCTTGAATCTGTAGTTAGTAGTAGAATTTGATAAATCATGTAATAAAATGCTATGGTTAACTATTTGAGAAAATGTCAGACTTTCTACCAAAGTATTTACTAAAGCATTTACACATCCAAAGAAGTTCAAGTTTCTCAAATCATTACCAAAACTTAGTATTACCTGACTTCTATTATAGCCATCCTTGTGGAGTTAGATTAGTTTAAATGTCTATTGCAAACTCTAAGGCAACCATTAATTTTTTTTTTTAATATTGGGGATTGAACTCAGGACCTTGAGCTTGCAAGGCAGGTGGTGGAACCACTGAGCTAAATCCCTGGGCCTAAAATTTTTAAAGAAGTATATTCATATGCTCAGAAAGAAGAGAAAACAGAATATGAAATTCTCAATTAAAAAAGTGAAGTCAGAAAAAGAAGATAAATGGGATAGAAAAATATATATTATGCTAGCACTAATGAAAAAGGGATCCACAGTAACTTATACATTTCTAACAAAACTGAATTTAGAAAGAAGAAGGTTTTCAAGAATAAAGAGGATACTACGTAGTGATAAAGTGGGGTTTATTCTTCAAGAATGTATAACAATCTTCAACATGGATATGCCTGACAATAAAGCCTTAAAATGTATGAGGCAAAAACCTATGGAATTGCAAGGAGAAAGAAATATACTATAGTCAGAGACTTCGATACTTTTCCATTGGTAACTGACAGATTCAACAGGTATAAAATCAACATGGACATAGTTGAACTGAACAACATTGTCAATCAACTGGATCTAATCAACATTTACAGAATATTTTATTCAACAGCAGCAGAATATTCATTCTTCTTAAGGTCACAATGGAAAATTCATCAACATAGGTCACATTCTGAACCATAAATTGTACCTAAACAAATTTTTTAAAATAGAAATAAAAATTTTAATTGTTCTTAGACCACAATGGAATTAAACAAGAAATCAATAGCAGAAAGAGAGATGGAAAATCAAAAAAAATATAGAAATTAACAGTCTTTTAAAAAGGCTAATCCTACCAAGTGTTGGTGAGATGCTTAAAACTGGAACTCTGATACACTAGTGATGGAAATGTAAAATAGTACAACCACATTGGAAAATAGTTTCATGTTTCTGAAAGTTAGACAGGGACTTACAATATGATCTAGCCATTCTACTTGTATTTATCCCAGAAAAGTTAAAACATTTAAAAACGTATGCATGAATGTCCACACAGCCTCATTTGTAATAGTCAAAAACTAGAAATGATCCAAATGTCCTTCAACAAGTATATGGATAAACAATTGTGGTGCTGTATATCCATAACTGGAACACTTCTCAGTATTAATGAGTAATAAACTATTGATGAATGCTGTAATCAGAGTGAATCTCAAAAAAATCCCAAGAAAAATCCCTACAAAACAAGTGTACATACCGTATGGTTATTTTTATAAAATTCTAGGAAATGCAAACTAATCTGGTGACAGAAAGAAAAATTAGTGATTGCTTAGGGATTGTTGTGGGGAGAAATAATGCAATGGGGTGGAAACCAAGGATCAGAAAGGAGACTAAGAAAACTCTGGATTGTAAAGGATATGCTCATCATCTTGATTGTGCCAGTGGTTTCATGTATATACACCCAAAAATCAAATTGTAACACTTAAGTTTATGTAGTTTATTATATATCCATCATACTTCAATAAGGTATGTAAAGATTCATAAAAATCTGAATTTTACAAAACGTAAATATTTCTTTTAGCCTAGTGCCCAACTGAAGCATTTTCCAAACTAGGCATCTTTTAAAGGTTAGTTCATTTCTCCATCACAGACCATTGAAACTTTAAAATTATTAGTCATAAACTTATTCAGGCAAACTGTTCATCTTCTTTGTTCCATGAATTCTCAGCAAGTGTGTATTTGGCTATGAGAGTAGCAGGGTAAGAGTATGTAGAGAGAAAAGAGCCTCAAAATAAATAATAGTAGGTCAAAAATGTTATCTTCTTATACAAAAGACAACACACTTTATTTCTACAAAAATGTACTTTTTATCTTCACTCTTACTGAGCATTTCCTTGCAAAAGTTAGCTCTTAGAGACAAAAATCACATTATTTGTGAGTGTTTCATGGAGCATCTGGAGCTTAAACATACTATTTGGTGAGAAAGAGGGTGTTCCAACCAAATCTTGATTGTGCTCTAAAAATCTATTTTGCAGCTGCTTAAAATGAGTGTGGCCTTTTAGGGCTCTAAAAAAAGAAAATGAGAAAACAATCTATTCTTTTAGACACCATCTGAATATCATGAAGTTCACTTTGTATGACTATGTTTTAGATTCTGGGCACGTGAGCCTATTTATTTTTATCAGACTTAAATACTCTCACCTTTCTAGTCTTTCCCTAGAGGTCTGCAGATGACCTCTTTACTTGTGGATTTCTTAACCAAAAGGTTGTTTACCCAGAATTTAGCTCACTTCAGTCTGTCACCTCTGGACATCATTAACTTAATCATGTCTTAAGTCTACTTCATTATATTGAAAATGACACTTGGGGGCCGGGAATTTAGCTCAGTGGTGCCACGGCCAGCCTCACAAGTGCAAGGTCCTGAGTTTGATCCCTGGTACCAAAAAAAAAAAAAAAAAAAAAAAA